ATTATGCTTATCATTACAGTTTCTTCAGATTACACTTCTCCGAAATTTCTATTTTCAGAGTTCTGCGCAGATTTTGGGTTGGTATAATCAAAAAATCAGCGACGATCAGCATATTTACTGATCGTTGCTGATCTGATATCTATTAAATTTACCAATGTATAATATTTTATTTTTATATTTATATCTTAATAAGTATCTTCTAAAAATATTATTATATAAATATTTATATATTATAAATTATTATTTATTTATATAATTATAAATTATTTATTTAAAAATATTATTTTTATCTTATATTTTTAATAATAAATAACTATAATTATAATAAAGTTTTAAGTTTTAATTATAATAATTTATTTATTTTTATTTAACTTTTTATATAAATTTCTAATTAATTACTTTATTATTATCTTGATTTTTTATATAAATTTTTTTATATAATAGATAAGATTATAATTATAAATAAATTTAATTTCTTATATTAATTATAATTTAATAAAAATTATTAAATAATATTAAAAATATAATTAAAAAATTATATATATATATTTTATATTAATTTTCATGTAAAAAAATAATTTTAATCAAATTTTTCTTTATTATATAATAAGAAGTTATAAATAAATTTACTTAAGAATAATATATATATAAATTTAAATTCAAATTTATATTTATTAAATTATTTTATTTTTAAATATAAAAAAATAGATTTTATTATTTAAATAATAATTACTTTTTTATAATTTTTTTAATTTTAAAAAATAATTTTTTTGTTATTATATATAATTATTTTTTATAATTTTTATTTAAATTCAAAAAATAATTAATTTTTTTTTATTAAGTTTAATTAAAATATAATATAATAATAATATTTTATATTATATTATAAAAATAATAATTTAAAAAGATAAATAAGTTTTTTTTATAAAGTTATTAAATAATTTTACTTTTATTAATTTATTAAAAATAATTTTAATAAATTTAATATTTATTATAAAAGTTATAATTTTTAAAGATTTTATCAAATATAAAATTCAGAATTTACTATATTATTTTAATTTTAATTTTTGATATATAAATATTTAAATATCAAAAATTAAATAATAAAGTTCTAATATATATATGTACTTTAGATAAATAATTATTAACATTAAATTAAAAATCTTTATAATATAATTCTTATAATAAATAGTTAATAAATATTATTTATTTTAAAAAGTATTTAATTACAAGTTTAAGTGAGTCTTGATTTGACAAGTAAATTAATATTAATATAAATAGAAAACTTAAAATAAAATCAATATAATTACAAAATTATAATAAATTAAAAAATAAAATATTAATATTATAATAAATATAAACTTTCATATTTTATAAATATTTTTTATACCTGAGTGAATTTGAAATATAAATATTGAATACAGGCTGAATAAATTTACTTAGTCATTCATAATATATTTTATCTAATACTAAATAAAATATATATTATATATAATATCTGGGATCTTATTCAAGAATTCTATTTTTTAATTAAAATAGTATCCGTGGATACTTTGTTATAGTAATAAATTAATATGGAATGGTTCTAATTTAGCTTATATTGAATTGAAGTTATTATCTGAAATATTTTATATAGTAAAATTTGACAAGGAATGTTTTATTGTTGTGAAATGCACGTCGCACGTTACCGTGCGATAAATTAATTTTTTATTTGATTGGCCGATCATAAAATCACGTGGTGTAGCACAGCTGTAAAAATATGATTCATAATAATTTAACTCAAAGTAGAACTGACACAACAAATAAGCTGTGCAATTTTTATTCCGAGTGACAACACAGCCTATCCTATTTCGTTTTAATCTAATCTGCCACAATTATAAAGAAAAAAAGAAAAAAATTAATTGGTTTAAAACTTAGAAGTTTTAAAGAATGGTATTATTTAAAAAGGAGAAACATTGGTATTATTGTTTATTGTTATCTACATATCCGAATTTACCATTACAGTTTGTAGTACATGTAATAGAGAATCAATCAACCAATCAAAAGTTGCTATTTTTTGAGCAAAATAAACCAATTCAACAACTTTTTTTTTGATCCGCGACATTTTTTTTACATTTTTTTCGTTCAAGTCTTTTATACGTATAAATTCTCTTTGTTTATGGAGCATAGGCGTGTTCTAGTAGCTCTGTTTATAGGGCTTACGAGCGCGTTATTTTACTTTCTTTCTGGAGTAGATGGGGCAAAAAGTGGTTTGTGGCTTTTTTTGCATTTTAACGAGAAAAGTTTTCATTCTTAAATTGTAATTTTTCCTTTACTCTTGGGAAAAATATTCAATATCAATAAGATTTTTGATCACATATTTATACATTTTCCTTTCTATAGCTGCTGATTATTACGTAAGAACTTTACCAGGACTACCAGATGGGATATACTTGAAGCAACATGCTGGGTAGCTTATCTTTCCACTTATTTAAAGAGCACGATAATATACTTATGAATTTATACTTTAAATAAAGACACATTTTAATAAACGAGTCGTCAAATGCCAATATGTTTTTTTGGTTAATACATAATCGACATATAGCTGATAGATCAAAGTTGGTAAGTTTTTTGCGTCTAAGATTGTTCATAATTATTTTAAAGCTTTTTTAAATTAATGAATTGTTTACACTATCTTCGGTGTTAGATAATATGGCTTAATGGCGGTATGCTTAATTATTATTAATGACTTCCGTCCTCAGCTTAAAATAATTTTTTCATTTATTTCTTAGGACCTGGATGGTAAGCAGTATTAATTTTGAAAAAAAATTTTGGTTATAATAATTAAACATTTTATTTTGCGATATAAAATGCTTAATATAATAGCTCCAGGTATGTATATTTTATTTTATATTTTTTTTTAATTGATTCACGTTTAAATTAACCATTAGATCAAACAAAAAATAGCATGGACGGATTATTTCTAGAAATTGGACCATGGCGAATGAATAAAAATCAAACGTTACGAATGATAGATGGCTCGTGGGATGAATATGCTAATTTGCTTTTCGGTCAGTTTATATATTTGTTTAACCTAATTAATTAATTAGCTGATTGGCTATATTATATGAATTTGGGTTATGTTTTTTCCAAATAGTAAATTTTTGATGATATCTTTTTTTTGCGGGAATTTTATTTTAAAGTGGATCAGCCTATTGGTACTGGATTCAGCTTTGGCGAATCTAATTCGTATCCGACAACGATAGTACAGGTAAGATTGTTACCATTTATTACTATCGTCATTAACATATACATAAATCGTTCTAGTAATCTATCTTAAAACAACAATTTCAATTTAATTGATTTTATAGTCAACCGATCAATTTATGACATTTTTGGATAAATTTTTCGAGATATTTCCAGAATACGCAAGAGATGAAGTATATTATATGATATTTTTGTTGTGACATTCCTGGTGCTTCAAAAGAAAAAATTATAAGTTTTAAGTTTAGGAATTTATTGTTCTTGTTACTTTTAAAGATTTACATAGCTGGTGAAAGTTTCGCTGGCACCTATATACCTTACATTGCTTCGGCTATTCTAAAACGAAATAGCGAGCGCAAGACCGTGGAATATCAAAAAGTATGCAATTCTGTTGTAATAAACTCAAAAATGAATTTGATATTCATCACAGCAGATTTACTTAACTCTTCGATTAATTTATGGTTAGTATAATTTAAAAGGTATTGCTATTGGCAATGGATGGATCGATCCCATAATTCAAGTAAGCCATTTAATCATTTTAAGTGATACTATTATTTAATTTACTGATAATTTTTTATCGTTATCTATTAAAGTATAATGCATATTACACGTTTTCCGTGGAAAAGGGACTTTTGACTGGTGAACCCATGGTATATTTTTTGTTTTCATAACATTAAATTAATAAGGATAAAAAAACACTAAAAGTTTTCAACTCATTTTTTTACTCTTGTTTATAGACACGTGCAAATAATTTACTAGAAACATGCATGAGTAATCTTAAACAAAAGTTACAAATTCACGAGGATACATGTGAATCGATTCTCACGGTGACACTCGACGCGTCTGCAAAATTGTTTGTATTTTTTCTTTTCTATATGTGTATGAGTTTAAAATTAACTTGCGTCAATATATTAACTTTAATTATCCAAATTTTTTCAAAGGGATGAAAATGGAACTAAAACTTGTATAAATCAATATGATATCCGACTTACTGACAGCTATCCAGATTGCGGGATGAAGTGGCCGTATGACTTGGCGACCATTACTGAATACTTGAGGGTAAGTATGTTACATTACACGTGTATATCATTTCTTTGTTTATTTATTACACAAGCTAAAGAAAATATGGATGGGCTTTATAGAGACCAGATGTGATTGGTGCTATTCATGCTGATGCACAAAAAATTGGCTGGAGGGAGTGTAGTGGACAGGTCGGTACTGGTTTTGACAACGATGATACTCCTCCTTCCATCAAGGTAATAAAAGTCATAGATGAGATTAATAAGTCTATTGCGAATGCCTCAATGGTCTAATCGACTTACTATATCACCATAAAATTAGTTGTTCCCCGAAATATTAAGTAAAATTCCAATTTTACTATTCAGGTTAGTACCATCCAAATATATCATTATTATTATAGGATACTCAAAATTAAAGAAATTTAAATATATACAGTGGAGATCAAGATTTAATTTGTAATACAAAAGGCACGCAAGAATTAATCGCCAATCTTGAGTGGAATAATGGTAAAGGATTTCAGGTAGATTAGTTTAATCATTATCTATAATCCCAGGGTATTGTAGTTTAGGTAAATGACATCATCAATTTTATCAACAGAATTCAAAACCTGAAGAATGGTATGTTAATGGAAGTTTAAGTGGGACGTGGCAAACAGAGCGGAATCTCAGTTTTGTCATTATTCATAACGCGAGTCACATGGTTCCGTATGATACGCCGCTAGCGACTATGGATATGATAGATCGGTTTATGGGATTGAAAGTTAAATTTGATAATTCGATTCCTTCCAGAGTAGGAAATGAGGTTAGTTAAGCGTTAACACCGGATATTTACTCTCTCATGCAACTGATTCATTATTTATATCTATACGCTTTGCTTTGTTTTAGACATTGGAAGATGAAAAAGCGTCAACTAATTCAACTGAAGGGTCATTAAATGACGAACTATCCAGTAAAAATAATACCATTAATGATGAAAGTGACGATGAGAATGATGAGATGTGGGATCGTTATTATAACGCGTAAGGATTTTCATTACATATGCATGCATTTACAGCTTTTTTAATATAATTTATTTTATTTTATATATAAATAGAGGTACCGCGTCTTTAGTAATTGTGATATTGGCGGTTATTGGTCTCTTGGTATTTTTACTTCGAGGAAAGATATTTAGACGAATACAAACCGTAAATCAAGCTATGAAAGCGGCTGTCGATAGCAACGAAAACACCGAGATGTGAGTGCTTTTATTTTAGATTATTTCTTATTAATAAATCTTATTTAACATTTTATTATTTGCTTATCGAAATAATAGGCAAGAGCTAGTGATTGAAACACCAAGGTTCGGAGTAGACGACGTGGATCATTTCGGCGATAGTGATCCTGATGATGATGACAATCATCTTATGAATGAAAATCATCGAGACATTGGAAAATACAAGGATGAAGTGTCTACTACTTCATTTACACCTTACAACGACGAACAAAATAATCATGAAATTGATACGAATACTCCATATAAAGATGAGAGTGACAACGAACATGATAATCATGAAATTGCTGCTAATACTCCGTATAAAGATGAGAGCGACGACGATGATAGAACAAAATATAATGACGACGACGATGACGTTGAAATAGTTCATGAACGCAATAACACGCGATTACAATCTACTGCAGATAGTGATGAAGAACATCATTAAGTGAGCATCTTAGATTTTCATAAATAGATGGATCTAAGAGGCAGAAATTCTTGATCTATCTCCATGGACAATTTTTATAATTAAATAATAAAAAAAATCATGTAAAGAAATTCTTTTAATGTTGTTAAAATTTGTTATTTATTTTATTCCAATTAAAAATTCCTGTAGCATAACAAACTTTCTGTATAGCATTACGTGACTTGGATAGATGATTTGCATTGTGCAACGAATAACGCAAAAACGTTTTTGCCTATGACATCACTTTCTGTGTTCTAACAAAAAATTTTATTAGTAATCTTTATCTTGAAAAATTTGATTGGTTTACCCTTAAAAATCACGTGTTCTCTGGAATGAGCACGTCGTGAGATGTGTTTGTTGCGTCATTCAATTGATTTGTCATGCGCCCTTCTCATGTTGATTTGGAAATAGTATCAACTCCGGGAAACCTATTTATATGACAAATCCTTGGGTTTATTAAATTGTGTAATCGTCCCAAAATCTGATAGGCGATTTCAGGTGAAAATTTCAAACACAAAACAATAAAATTGGACAAAATCGACACTTGAAACGACATTTTGAAAAAATATGGCGTGCTCGCGAGAATTATTGGTTGAAAATTGATATGCTACGCGTTCTTTTTCCTCTCGACTATGGACAATTCATCAATAATAAGATGTGATCTATCATTTTAGCCGTCAACCTTATTTTTATCTAAGAGCATCGGAAAAAAAAGAGTAAGCCATACACGCGTGTAAAGTTATAAATACCTTACCACTATGTAGTTTTCCAGTTCACAAAAAAACAGTATGGCAAATATTCCACACGGTGGTGAACTCAAAGACCTTCACGCACGGGACGCTTATAAACGCGATAACCTGCTTAGGGAATCACAATTTATACCGTCTATCGTATTAACTGATCGACAATTATGTGACTTGGAATTGTTGATGAATGGCGGGTTTTCCCCGCTCGAGGGCTTTATGAATCGTAAAGACTACGAAAGGTGTGTACTTACGAGAATCCTTACATGTATACCCAAATCCCATTGTAATCTAGATTGATTTCAAATAATTACTAATGATAAAATATAGTGTCGTTCATAACCTACGGTTGGCAAACGGCATTCTATTCTCAATGCCAGTAACTCTTGACGTCTCACAGAAGGATATTGAAACGTTGTGTATTGAGGTTGGCCGACGAATCGTTCTACGCGATTTACGTGACGATGCTCCTCTGGCTATTCTAACAATTGAAGATATATATAAACCGGATAAGGAAGTCGAAGCAATCAATGTATTTGGTGATAATGATATGGCACATCCTAGTGTCGATTATCTACATAATCGTGTTAAGGAATACTATGTTGGTGGTGAAATCGAAGCAATTAATCCACCCACTCATTATGACTATGTTGCTCACAGATGTAAGTTTAAGCAAATTTTTTAAATCCTTTATCTCGATTATCAAACCTAATCGACTTTATTTTGTCATTGTCATTCTTTAATCTAGACACCCCAGCAGAACTCCGAGCTCACTTCAAAAAACTTAACTGGACACGTGTCGTCGCGTTTCAAACACGAAATCCGATGCACAGAGCACATCGTGAATTAACGGTCCGAGCGGCACGTCAACGTCAAGCAAATATTCTCATCCATCCGGTTGTTGGTCTCACAAAACCCGGTGACATTGATCATTACACCAGAGTTCGTGTCTATCAAGCGATAATGCCCAAATACCCTAATGGTATGGCTACTCTGAGTCTATTACCATTGGCTATGCGAATGGGTGGACCTCGTGAAGCTGTTTGGCATGCGATCATAAGAAAGAATTTTGGTGCTACGCATTTCATTATTGGACGAGATCATGCAGGTCCCGGCAAAAATTCTAAAGGTGAAGATTTCTATGGTCCATATGATGCTCAAGTAAGTATTATTTCACATGATATTAATAATCATACATCTGTTTATTTATCTCACTTTTCTTTATAACCACCACAGCATTTTGTCGAGAAATATCGAAACGAACTTCATATAGAGGTAGTTCCCTTCCAAATGGTCACTTATATTCCTGATTCAGATGAATACTTACCAATCGATGAAGTTCCTCCCGGTACAAATCAACTAAACATTTCTGGTACAGAGTTGCGACGTCGTTTACGAACGGGTGGTCATATACCAGAATGGTTTTCATATCCAGAGGTTGTAAAAGTACTGCGCGATACACATCCACCAAGGTCACGACAAGGTTTTACGTTGTTCCTTACGGGATTTTATAATTCTGGTAAAAATAGAATTGCCAAAGCTTTACAAGTAAAACTCAATGAACAAGGTGGAAGATCTGTAAGTCTGCTGTTAGGTGAAACTGTAAGAGCTGAAATATCTAATGGTAAGTTATTCAGTAATATATATATTCTAAACTTTTAATCTTAATTCGATTCTAAAATCTTTTGATTTTATTCAAGAATTGGGTTTCACACGCAAAGATCGTGATCAAAATATTGCACGCATAGCTTTCATATCAGCGGAGCTTACAAAGGCAGGTGCTGCAGTTATAGCCGCACCAATCGCGCCATTTGCACAAGCACGTTCACACGCAAGATCTCATGTAGCAACATATGGTGGATTTTATTTAGTTCACGTGAACACCCCCTTGGAGTATTGTATAAAGACGGATCGAAAAGGAATTTACAAGGTATGCTTAGTGTTTTGGATTTTCGATTGTTAATAAATCAATTTTAATTGATATTGGTGATGTAGAGAGCACAATCTGGAGAGATAAAGGGATTCACGGGTGTTGACGACCCATACGAAATACCCACCGACGCTGACATCGTTGTGGATGTGAGCAAGCAAAGTATTAGCGAAATTTGCCATCAGATATTGCTGTTAGTCGAAAAGGTATGTAATTAGTTTTTTAGATTCATTAGTATAAAATATACGCACATCAATTTTATATTGAATGAACTTTTCATTTATGTAGGACGGTTATATTGGCGAAAGATAATGATTTAACAGAACATTAGAAATAAAACACTTTAAATCGCTATTTAGATTTATCTATTAATCTTTAAAAGTATTAGAATCATAATATATTTATTATATATGTGTCTTCAAGGATGCTACGGACTATTTTAATTCATCTTGTCAAAACACCTCGTGACACTTTTAATTTAAATAGCTGGACGTTTTATTCATTTTTAAAGAATATTTTGGATAGAATTTGATAAAATACCGTTGTTATAGTAATTTGTTTTTACTTTCGTTGCTCATATTTGTACTTTAATCAATCTTAATACAAAAAGACAAAATAGATTCTATCAATACGAAAACAACTTCCATTTTTGTGATTATCACGTGTAATTCAATCATTTTCGTTGACTTTTGTTATCAGTGTCAAGCGAGTCATCCGACAGCCTTAAAGTCTGTATATGTGCTTGTATTGTTGATAATGGATCTGCTATAAACACTGGGTTTTGAGTAATTTTCTGAAATAATTGCATTTCAGCAAGACTAAGTAGATAAAATGGATCAGAGCGCTTATATAATTTCTAAATACAAAATAATGACGTACACAGCAATAATAATACTTACGCAACATTTTTCCTCGCCTTCTTACCCACAACTTTCTTCCCATTCAATCCTTTAGGCAAAGGCGCCCGATTACGACCAGGCACAAACTTATCCGCATCTGATTTAATATCAGGTAAAGTTTCGAGTGTTTGCTTCAATGATGATAGGTCAAAAGTGGGATCTTCAATATTGACTTTTTGTTTGGTTTGGTTCTTTGAATTCCTCTTTTTTTTGTTGTTGTGCTTTGAATAGCCAGAGTAGGATGCGTCTAATTCTAAAGTTGTGAAAAGAAGTCAGGTAATAACTTATTAGAGACGATGAAAGATTCATTGTCGAGATTGCGACTTACTTTGTAGCCACTTTACATGCCGATCTCTTAGTTTCTTTTTTTTTGGGATTTGGTTATGAGGAAGATCAGAGTCTGGTCGATCAACGGAAGTATTATCACTTTTGTTGGATTTAGCTAAACTATTAACTTCGGCGAATTCCTTTGAATATGATGATAATAAAGTTTTCGCCTATAATCCGGATGAATTAGTTTTTCGTTCATGCTATCATTTTTCGCCATGACTTTATATATATAATTAAACTTTGACTAGAATTACATTAACAGCAATAGCCGACCCGGGGACTACACGTTCAATTGACGCTTTTGACGTAACAAGAGATGATTTTTGCGAAGCGATATAATGTTGCGTCGTACGCTGTCTTCTAACTTTTGGCTACGAGTATGATACAAAATTAAGAAATGTCATTATACAACATTGCAATTTCAAGTATGCTAAAATAAACAATAATACTTTACCATGATGAATATGATGAGACCTGAGATACATGTACATGAACAAGTACTTTGTTACCCACGTGTGTGAAACCGGATTAGATATTAAAATAAATCCGATCACAATCTCCAATCTCTACAAATACAGTGGCTTGCATTGTCAATCTTTAATCACGCAATTCTCAATCACAAAAGATCCGACAAACATGCAAGTGGATAGAATAAAAACGACCTGATATTATTATGCCCAATTTATGGGCAATAATCATTAATCCGCATAAACGAAGGTGCGTTTTTTTGCCGTTTTTTAAATAAAACTTTTTTCATTTAATATTTTATTAAAAAAACTAACAAACTAATAAAAATTTTTACAAAACACCATTTTTACCATCTCGTATAACCACCCCGCGCTTTAATTACATCATTAATTCGTTCTGGCATTGTATTAATCAAATTAATACAACAATCGATTTCAATATTATCCCATGCCTCCTCTATCTTTTCCCATAAATCATCCTTATTGGTGATTGTACCCAGAAGTTCATTTCCCGCCAGAGATTTTTTGATAGGATTAAGATCGGATGAAGCTTAATACAGTCACATGATTATTAGTGAATCACTTCATCACAACATGTTTAGGATCATTATCCTGTTGCCAGTATTATTCACTATTTATTATTCTAATAATTTTACAAATATAATTAATATTTTAAATATCAAAATATTTCCATATTATTATACTATTATCATTATAAATTAAATATGCAAGCTTTTTAATAGATCATTTTATCTTTTTTAATAATGATAATACTAATATTTATCAGATTCAAATATCTGAAATTTTGATTTATCAGATTATATAATTTTGTATCAATTATCAAGTTTCTAGTTTTTATATTTATTTGCAAAATTAAGTTATTTTTTATAATATATATATCTGATAAATATGACTTTTTCTATTTTATCTATATTATCAAATTATTATTATGTAATTTTTTATGTATTATATTTATATTTACATTAATTTCTTCATTAATTAATAGAAATTTTTAAGGTTGAATAGTATTAAAATATTTATTTATTATAATTTAACAAATAAGAGTTTATTTATTATATATAATAAAGTTTTTGAAGATAATTAATTCTAAATATTATTAGTTTTCTTGACTTTTTTTAAGTTATAGTATAATAAAATAATAAATATTAAAGTAATAAATAATTTTATAAGCATTATAATTTTTATCAAGTAATATAATTACTTAAGCATATTTTTTTTTAGAAAAGTTTACAAATTATATAAAATAAATCTTAAAAAATTTTTTTATTTTCATAATAAAAAAAAGTTTTTCTTAATTCTTTTTATTTATATCAAAAACATTAAAAAAATATACTATTGATTTAAAGAATTAAGAGATATTATAAAAAAATAAA